CACAACCCCCCGCCCTGACTCCTGCACCCCACCCCCGCCCTGAACCTCCCACCATGCACACCACGTACTGTAGACTATGAACACTTAGTCATGTATAAGGTCCAAGTGTGGTGAAATTCAAAGAATAATGTGTTGGATGATGGGGACTGGACTCAACGATCTCCTCAGGTCTCTTCCAGCCCTAGGATTCTAGGTTTCTATGATAATGACTCCCTGTAATTAAGAATAGAAAAATGTTTGAGAATACTGGTAAAAAGGGTCCAACAGCTGGGGAAAGGCTGCAACCGATGGATGAGTCCAAAGGAGCAGACCAGGAGATCCTGGGAGGTGATGACCATCACAGAAGAAGGAAGAACTTGTTATAGGAATGTGGAAACCTTTTCACTGCTAGGATGTTACTCCTTGCTGGGCAGAAAACTGTGTCCAGACACTAATTCTGTCTGAAGTTGTATTCAAAAAAGCAAAACTCAACCAAAATTAAAACTTAAGCCTGAATTGGGTGGATATGTGAATCAGTTTCCCACTCTATGCTACCTTATAAAAATTGCTAATGCAGGGCAAGTCCCCAGAAATCCCTCATCTCTGCTTCAGACCTTACTGGAGAAGAATTATGAGCCTTATATTCAAATCGAAGCAAGAAAGAGTGATGTGTTAGGGTGTGTCTACACTACAGTGCTATTTCAAATTAACTTAATTTGAAATAGTTAATTCGAATTAAGCTAATTCGAAATAACGCATCTATACGCAAAACTATTTTGAAATAACATTTTGCAATTTTGAAATAGTGCGTCCACACTGAGTGGACCCTGAACCGAAGTTAAGGCTGGCCGGAACCAGTGCCAGAAGGGCATCAATTTAGGACTTTGTGTGTGGGGCTGCTGCTGAGGCTAACTGAGCTCCATGCTTAAAGGGACCCGACCCCCACCCCAGACAGACAGTTCTCAGGGCTCCCTGCTTGCTTGTCTGCCTCGATGAGGGACAGCAAAGCAGTCCTGTCTTGGAGTGCCATGAGTGCCCACACTCAGGACACCACAGCACTCGGCCACACAGAGCCAGAGCTGCCCCTGGGCACACTGGTGTGTCTCGTGGTGTTGTTGCCATCAGCCCAGCTGCACTTGCTGCAGGCTGTCATCTGGGGGGGTCCATCGGGGGGCTGTCAGCATCCACCCCTCAGAGCCCTCAGAGCCTCCCCAGTCCTCCCCACCGGGGGCTCGTGCCCCATTCCTCCCTCACATCCTTCCACTTACCCCTCCCTAGCCCCCCTTCCTCATGTCAAATAAAAGACATGTATGTTCAAAAATAGAAACTGGGTTTATTGAACAAAACTGGGGGGGAGGGGATGAACCTCTGGGGAGACTGGGAAAATGAGGTGGGAGAGGGGAGGGGGAAACCTGGGAGGAGGGAGCTGGAAGGGGGAAGCAAGGGGAAGAAGGGGGAGGGGAAGCTCAGGGCTCAGGGTTGCGGGTCTCACCAGATCAACTTGACTTCCATGCAAACCTGCTCCTGGGTTTGCATGTGGCCTTTGGTGGCCAGCCTACCAGCTATCCTGCCATAAACAGGTTCTTCCATCTGTGTGGAGATCATGGACATTGGGGGCATCCCCCCCAAACCTGAATAAGGTCCATGATCTCTACCCTGGAACAGGAAGGTGCCCACCTTCTCCTGGCCCCTGCAGGCTCCTGGGAGCTGGCAGACTGCTCCTGGGGAGCAGTGGAGGGCTGGCTGCCAGTGGCTTCTGGGTTCGCATGTGGCCTTTGGTGGCCAGGCTGGAAGCTCTCCTGCCATAGACGGCCACGTTCCTCCGTCTAGTGTGTAGATCATTGACATTGGGGGCATCTCCCCCAAACCTGAAGAAAGTCCATGATCTCCACTCTGGACCAGGAAGGCGCCTTCCTTCTCCAGCCCCTGTCAGGCTCCTGGGAGCTGGCAGACTGCTCCTGGGGAGGGGTGGAGGGCTGGCTGCCAGTGGCTTGCTGGCTCATGTTTTGGGGCCTCTGGGTTAGGGGCCCCAGTGGCCACTGCTGGTTCTGGGCTGGCAGGCTTGGAGCTGGCACAGGCACTGTGGCCAGGGTCTTTAATGTCTCCGGGGCTGGGGGAGAGGAGAGTAAGCTTTCCTGGTTGTGCCCAGAGTGGCCACCAGGGCTCCCTGGGAAGGGCTGGAGGCCCCCTATTTAGAATTAAGTATCTACAAAGCACTAAATTCAAAATAGCTATTTCGAATTTGGTGTTACTCCCGTAGAATGAGGTTTACCAAATTCGAAATAAGGGCTCCACTATTTATTTTGAAATAGTAGTAAAATAGCAATAAAATAGAATTTATTTCAAAATAGCAGTTTGCCTGTGTAGACACTATTAAAGTTAATTCAAAATAACTGCTGTTATTTCGAATTAACTTTGTAGTGTAGACATACCCTTAAGGATCACACGTATGTCAGGCTAGCGTAGAGCCCATGGCGGGACTGCCTAGATCCCATGCAAGCTGAATTGGCATACGCATTTGGCAGAGCCCTGTTCACACCACCCTTGAAATGGTGTAACTGAGGGTTCAACATGCTCACGCAGGAAACGTGTCAAAGACATTCACTGCAGAGCTTAGTAAAAGCTCATGAGGGGAATTCCTGGAGTAGTACCTGGATTTCGTGTCCAAACACAGAAAAGGAAGGCCAAGACTCAGAAGAAGACATTAAGGAAAAGGAATAGAGACGGGCTGGAACTCTGTCCTATGTACATTTTTTTCTAACATCTAAAAAAATCTGGATTTATTTCTACTTAAAAAGTGGACATGTGGGAAGCCCTGTAGACTTGGATCCTGCAGATCCTTTTCACAGTACTACAGTGTGATGGACTTTAGCAATAATCTTGTCTGGAATTAAGAACTTGGTCTATTCAAAATATTTCATACTGAAGCAATGTGTGCTCAAGTAATTGAGTGCGCAAGCTATTAACGAGAGGCAGGAGAGAGGAAGGGATGCTGAATGACAGGAAATCAGCTACACAGTAAAAAAGCAACATGAAAGGAGATTTTATACTCAAGAGTCAGTAGCAGATACAGAAAATGTGAAAGGGGCGGCTATACTGTATAATGGGCACTAGGGGGCAGCA